CCATGGGACCTAATCTTGATTTGCACAGAACAGACATAAATTATGATGCTAAGCTTCACATGGCTGCGCTTTACTTAATATCTGGGCATCGGAGACTCTAGCCCAGTAGTTCTCAACCTGTGGGTCGGGACCCCATTTGGGGTCGAACGACCATTTCACGGGGATCGCCAAACAACGCAGTCCGCCATTTTTTTCCCCTTTTCCTTAGCTGTGCTACTTCCTTTTATTCTATTGGCTTTTGAAAGCCAATAGAATAGACTCTCTTGAATAGAGTCTAATTCTATTGGCTTTCAAAAGCCAATAGGAATTGTCCAGGCTGTCTCTGCCCTGCTGAGCATGCCAAAAGTCCCATTCTGCAAACGGTGCTGCACCAGTTGAGTAGTCCTCGACTTACGACCGGTTGAGTAGTCCTCAACTTATGACCGGTTGGGGGTCGCTGCATTAAAAAGGTTGAGAACCACTGCTCTAGCCCTTGGAGGGTCAAAATGACCCATGTTCCAACAGGTCAGAACTGGAATATTTAAGGCATCTGATTACAAAATATCCACTTCCCCACAAGCACAATGCTTAGTTGAGGTTTCAGAAGACACTATTTACAGGACGCTTACATATTCCATTCTGCTATCTCTGAAGTTGAAATCTCAGATGCGTGGGCAGAAGTGTAGGAGAGAGGAAGTGCAACAAAAATAATGGCATCTTCTCTTCCTACCTGTCCCCTGCCACAATTTCCTAATTTTCCATCAAGCAGTCTTGAAATAGTATAGACAAAGTTGTTGCAATGCCCTGACAAATGAGTTCATTTCATGTTAGACACTTCCACTTTAAACTGCCCAATCAAACTCTTTTCATTCCAGCCCACATTCTGTGCAAATGGTTCCATATCAATGGTATTACTCTTGTGCTAAGCGCTTACCGTGTAAGTGATGATGAATTTTGCTATTGATGATCTTTAGTTTAAATGGATTATTGGAAGATAGCTCCAGGATTTTCAGAAAATTGTCTGAACTATTCGGCTTCAAAAGATGGGTTCCCATTTGTACCTCTCTTACTTGTTAGGACATTTATAAATCCCATTCAAGTTCAGTTCCTAAGAAAACATTTACATCTGAGGCATCTGTATGATTAATATTGTTTGAGGAAGGTAATACCTTTGCTGAATTATCATTGTTTTTGGCATGTCCTTGGAGGGCTATACCTGCTCCAAGTATTCAAACAGTGGCTGCCAGATCTTGGGCTGAAATCAGTATAGATGCCACACATGTGGCTGATTCTGCCCCACTTGTCAAATTAGCTGATTATCATGGGTTTCAACTTACTTTTGATGTTTGAGTCAGGCACGGGAGACCTGAATATTAGCAAGTTGGCAAGAGGAGCTGTAGCTATTGTTTAACTTTAAATTTTAAGTAGAAAAAGGCAGATCTGGCAATCAGATATCATGCCATTAAATCTATTGTCTTCAAATACTTAGTCTCATATCCAGAGGTTTGCTTTCAGCTGAAACATATAAACACAATCGAGCTACATGCTGTTTTATTGCAGACAAGGTAGAAACCCTGTGGCATAGGTAGACGATCCCTATCATCTATCTATCTATCTATCTATCTATCTATCTATCTATCTATCTATCTATCTATCTATCTACCTACATATTATCTATCTATCTATCTATCTATCTATCTATCTATCTATCTATCTATCTATCTCTTCCTCAGTTTGGATTTGAATTAGAGGACTGGAATTTTCAAGATAATAGATATTATGCTACTCTCTTCTCAGCCTTAAGATTGTAAAGCATCTGCTCAGTGGTCATATTATGGTTCTGTCAAGAGTGAGAACCATTTGTCCCACCTTTCTAGCTTTTTTGACCAATAAGTTTGTGCTAAGAGATATTGTTATTACATGGTATAGATTACATAAAACAATTTAAGTGGTAAATAAATATCTAATGTTGGAGCAAAGGGGTTGAACGTTTAATTTCAAAGAGGACTTTAAAAAGGGAGGGGATAGGAAAGCCTGTCTTATTTGCTGAAAAACAAACTTCCAGGGTTTTAAAAATGAAATTGTAGGGAGGGGTGTTGGATCAAGATTTCTGAGCTTTTTGTCTGTGTGTTTGTATCTTCAAGTCTTGATTCCTGGCACTATACCTGGACTAGTCCTAGTGGCAAGATTTTCAGAAAGGGTTTGCCATTGCCTTCTTCAGGCTGAGAGAAGGCAACTGGCCCAAGATCGCCCAGCTAGCTTTGTGTCTAAGATAGGACTAGAACTCATCATCTCTTAACCACACACCAAACTGGCTGGGGCACACAACTGCAGAAAGTTTGAGAAACACTGATGTATAACATGTTCTTTGTTTCCTACATTACAGGTAGTCCTTGTTTAATGAGAATTCACAGTTACAACAGTGATGAAAGTGCAATTTTATGACCAATCATCATTTTTACAACTTTCACAGGCCTGTAAAGCAAAGGAAAGCCGAAGTAAGATCATAAGCATAGTCACGGTTTTACTTAGTGGCGACTTCAGTTAATGACTGGGTTGCTGGACCCAATTGTAATAGCTAAATGACAACTATAAGATAGATTGCAAAGGAAGCATTGGTACTATGGGCATCATACTGGCACTGCTGGCAGGAGCCTTTGAAGTTTATATAACAGCTGAATCATATCATACTGCTTTTTTTCCTTTCTTTTTAAAAAATTGCAATAAATTCTTAGCTTAGTCGCTGGGGGATAGGCTTACTTTTAAACTGACAAAGATTTTCTCAGCCTGTTTAACATAAAATCGATACACTTCATTAAAGAAATGCAGTACTGCTTTGTAGGATTTCCCCAATTAATTGTAAACAATTTTCTTGAAGCCACTACTATCTGCATTTGTCTTATTTGACTCCTGAACATTTTGCAAAGGATAGATTGAGAAGAAGTAAAAATACTCAAAGAGGGGCAGCCCCAGGATGTAGTTTAAACATTCAAAATGGCCATGGTGTTCCAGTTGAAATCCTGCCTATGTTTTTTAAGTGTACTCCCATCCTATCTGCTGTTGTTTGGGCAGCTTTTGAAAATGGGGATTTTGAACATAGAAACAGAAGACAACCCTTGATCAGCACTGAAAAGCAGCCTAGTCAATGGTTGACCTGTGTTGTGTGATGTGTGATCTGTGTGTGTGTTAGGGACCCATTTAGGATTTGAAGTTTCAAAATCTTCTGCTCTAAATCCCAAAGCTCTGAGCAGGGTAAATGGTGTTATATAAAAAACATGGATATATTTAATGTGCCCATTTTGTTTCTGTTTTAAATAGCAGCTGCAGGGGCCTGTCAAGAATTGCAGGAGTCAAGGAAGGTTGCAGTAAAGAAAATGAAAACTCTTGTCTCTACATTTGCAAGAATATCATTCATACCCCAGGGTGTGAAGCTGGCATTGAGCCAATCTCTTTTTTCCTGGGATAAAAAAACAATACATGTGATTTGGATATCAGTACCATTTAAAGTACTGGAATTCTGGCTTTGCTCTTACTTGACAGTGGAAATTAGTGTTTATCTTTGATAGACAGTATTATTTTTTCCAGCTCAAGATCCAAGAATTAAAGAGGATAAGCTATAAACATTTACCTAGTAAATATTTGACTTTTAAAAAGCAGAAATGTAGAATTAGAAGGTTTTTTTTCCTTTTCTTTTGGTTTCTACTTTTTTTAACTTTAAAGATTGTTTTGTTAATTGTATATGGTAAGAATGTTTTTAAAAGCACAGATGTATAATAGATTAGCTGCCAAACTCAAGAAAACATGCCTGGAAGGTAGTTTAGATTTAGGAGGCCCAGAACAGGTTGCAATTTGCATGTCAGATACAACTGTACTTTCCCAGAGAAAAGGATGCTTGGAAGGAGTGGCTGAGAAATTGTCACTATCACTTCAATTACTTCACTCTGCTCCAAAGTAGAGCCAACCCTATGCTTGGGTACTTGTTAAGCATGCTACCCATTTTCAAGTGTGATAATCTGGGGGGGGGGGCTGAAGAAGGAATGAATGAGGTGAAGATGGAGATGATGATAATAATGTGTGGTTAACTCATTGTTGACTCTTAGCAATCACATAGATTTTCTACATCAGGGGTATTCAAACTTGGCCCTTTTATGACTTGTGGACTTCAACTCCCAGAATTCCTCAGCTAGCGTGCCTGGCTATTCTGGGAGTTGAAGTCCACAAGTCATAAAAGGGCCAAGTCTGAAGACCCCTGTTCTACATGATGGTCTATCCATGATATAAATAATCAAGAGATGGTGGATGTCAGCTGATTTTTGATTGGCAGCTGACAAAGTTGATTGAAAGATGGGCAGCTATATATTTTTTCTTTTAACAACCCTGTAATTCCTTGCATTGGGGTGGAGTCAGGGCAAATGAATGGAGCTAGAGTGTTTGCTGGATAGATGCCCTCCTGACTCCTAGACGGAGTTCGCAGTAGACTATTACTCATTGAGCTCTGAGAGAGAAATATTTGCCATTACCTAGGATCCAACTCACAGCGTCCTGATTGTGAGGCAAAAGTTCCACCTCTAGGTCACCACACCACTCATGGGCAGCTATATAAATGAGTTAAATAAATAAAATTCACATAAATCCACTAAGCACAAGTAGAGGGAAATCCAAGAAGGTGCATTTCAAATTTCTCAGAGAAGCTTGACTGGCTTTAATACACAGTTAATGAAGGTGGAAAGTTCTTATTTGCATTTCCAAGGTCCCATGTTTACTTCTGATTGGCATTAAAGCTACCTTCCTGAATGTTCTTGCTTGCTTGATCTTGCCAATTCTGTTGGACCTGAAACCAAGGTACCTAATGCAAAAGAAGCTTCTAGAACCCTTCAGCCAATAGGTGTTGCATGAGCATATCAAGTCTTTGGATATTAATGAATATTAATATTTAATTCATTATTTTAATATATCATTAATGTTAATATAGTAACATAAACACTTTTCCTCCAGAAAGTAATTTGATACCTGCAACAAAGTGCATGAAAAATAGTTAAGTGGTGAGATTTTATTTAGGATTTCTATGCAAGCATTGAGCACACGATTCCAGTGAATAGAAATAACTAGAGGAAAGAATTTGGGCACCATCCAAATTCCTTGCAGGCCTGTGGATGGATTACATGTACTCTGTGAGCTTCTCAGTTTTTTTTTCTGGTCTTGAAACTTCCCCACAGTTTCTGGGTTTCTGTCTGTGTAGTGTTTCTGAACAGAAGAGAAAACTTATAGAATCACCAAACTCTCTGACCATTTCTCTGAATTATGGCCATTGAATATAAAGAAAAAACCCATCTCAAGTCTTTTTACCAAATTCCTCTTTTTCTTTTTCTTTTCTTTTGTATGTGATTCAGAAGAGAATGTTCAGCTTTGCTTTACAAATTCTGGTAGTTCCATGCCTGTATGCAGGTTGAGAAACCCCGATTGTTCCAGTACAAAAGCAGGATAAGCTGCTTTAGTGAATTTATACTTGATAGCAGACAGCAACTGCCCTCTCTCTGCATTGAGAAATAGGAGCCTTCCAGTATTATAGTCTAGCAGAATGCCAATCCGGGCAGGCTGTTCAGTCACCATAATTTCACTCATCTCACCATTGTGGAGAACTTTATATACAGAACTGCAAAGAGCAAAAAATATAAAATCAACACAAATCCATTGCAAAGATCCAACACAGAATTTGTTTAGTCCAACACTATCTAGATCTCATCTAAGCCAACCTGATTGCAAAGGCCAATTTGTAACCAGCTCCTGGGATTGAGATTTTTTTTTTTTCTAAGATCTGAAAAGTACTGTGCAGAACTCCCCACCTGATCTCGACAGGTTACTTTATTTTTAGATCTTAGGAATAAGGATCTGGAATCCCATTGCTTAATAATGCATTCCAACATTTCCCTTTTGTAATGAGAAAAGCCCTGAATAAAAATACAAATCAATTAGAATATATGCACAGGATCATTAAAAAAGACAAGCATTTAACTGGATTTATTTTGGGCAAGAAAAGCAATATATATTATCTGGAGCTGTTATATACTCTTTGGGATATTGTATATAATTTATTTGCTTCATACCCTTCCAAATGCATTGCTCTGCATTTACCTGCATTCTCAGGCAGGTTCCAGACTGGGCATTTCTATTCTACCTGGGAATTAGGCAAGTTACAACTCAACAAATTAAAAAGCACCAGATCAAGACAGGGATAGCTCTACATAATGTACTGCCTATAGGCCTGATGATATACGTCTCTTCCTTCTAGATACAGAATTGACTATTCACTTGTACAAAAGCAATAGGTTGGCAAGAAGAAGCTATGTCTGTCTGGCCTCTATCCTCCTCACAGAAACACAAAGCTCAGGAAAACAGGCAAGGCACATTTGCTGATCGTTGTAACTTTTGTTCCATAAACCCATTGGCTTATTTTAAAGTTAGAACTAGTTTGGGGAATGTATTCATTTTTATTTGTTAAATTTATTTGGCACCTATCTCACCATGGGGTTAACTCTAGGTGGCTTATAATAAAAAGGAAGAAATGGAAAGAAGAATAAACAAAAGAGAAGTAACACAATAAAACAATGATCAAGAAAATGAGAATACATCAATATGATAACAAAAGATGGATGGGTGGGGAGCAGAGATTGAGAAGGGGGGCTTGTTAACCTAAATTAACTTACAGTATCTGATGACAAATGGGCTGTATGGATTCCAGTATTTTTTTGGTATGCAATCTGATAATGGGACCTGAGGGAGAATAGTTCTGACCTACCCATCCCCATATATCTTCTTACATATGCATTTCCACATAGAAATAAGTATCTCCATAGTATTGATCAAAGTGGTCATTCTTACAGGGCTGCTGAAATGATTACTAAGGAAGTATATATGCTACATATCTTTCATGAAGCACTCATTTTGAAATACAGCATTACAGATACTAACCACCCTTTTCAATGGATGATTGTTAAATTAAAAATACTGATTAGATATGAAAAAGAGAAGTCTGAAAACCACCACAATGTGACCTTATCTGCCAGAAAAACAAGACAGAGTATATCACTAGAGTACTATTCCTAGCTAACGATCATCCAGCATTGCAAAGTTCTGGATTCACTCCAAGAAAACTAGTCTATCTTTCACTCCCAATACAGTTATATCATCAGATGACCTCCAGTGAAGCAGCCATGGGAGCAATGTATTAACTATGCAGCAAATTGCCCCAGGATACAACAGATGGATCTCATGGTTGGAGGATTCATTACAACAACAAATAGCAAGAGTTCAAAGCTCTGCTCCTATTTCAATTAATGAAAATTATACAACCAGAAAATCAGGAAGAGAACCTTATAGTGAAATTTTGTTCTTCCCATTCTTGTAGAAAGAGATGGAAGCTTGAATTCAAATTTGTTTACATATTATTCAATTTCAATTATAAATGAAACAGCAATGGCTACTTTGCAGGGATGATGAAAACTTGCCAATGGAAGTATGGAAACAGGGAAAAAACAAGAAATCTTAATGCAGGAAAGAGAATATGATCTAGTCGAAACAACCAAAGGATGAAATTTGGAATATATCAACAGTGGTGTAATGTTAAGATTATGGGACATGAGAATTTTAGTTATCACAATACAAAAAGGATGCTGAGGAACTGGAAACTATGCAGACAAAAACAACAAAGATGGTGAAGTTCCTATGAAACTTGGCTATAAGAACTGAATATGTTTAGCCTAAAGGAGAGAAGACAAAGGCAAAGCATGATACCAGTCTTCCAATACTTGAAAGACTATCATAGGGTAGCAGGTGTAGATTTATTCAACCTAAATTCAAAATAAGGAGTTATTTTCTGGCCATGGGAGCTATTACACAATGAAACAGCCTGACTCATAGAACCATGAGTGGTCTGTCACTGGACATCAAAAAAGAAAAAGAAAAAGGTTGGACTGCCATTGGCCCAAGATGATCTGAGATTCCTAGGCTGAGTCTTGAAGAAGAAGACTTCCATACTCCCTTCAAACCTTCTGGTTCTATGATTCTCTGAAACTCATCAATGGAATGCAACGATTGAAGGGCATGTGAAAGAAATGTATACATGCACTGAGATTCAGGAATTTGGGAACAAGATTGTAGCCAAGATTTTTGGGATAGGAATACAAGGAAGGGGAAAGAAGAAAGATATACTGTAGTACTATAGATCACCAAATCAGATAGAAAATCAGGATACTGCCTTTCTGGACTGGAATACAGAATTTTCAGGATACAAAGAAATAATAATGATAGGACATTTAGACATCTCTTGGAAAAACAACTCAGCCAAAACAGCAGAACCCTTAGGGAGGTCTTCCTATTTTTTCTTTCAGAAGGGTGAAGTTTAGTTCTCTTATAGCTGATCAAAGCCAAGAAGAACTGGCTGAAGTGGTAAAAGCAGTGGAAACCTTAGAAGGAAATGACCAAATCAGCTTATAGTATTGTTCATATATTGGATTTTAGGAGAGCTCATTTAAACAAGCTTAGAGAATTACTCCATCAATCATTCTCAACCTTTCCAGATGTATTGGAACCACAATTCCCAGAACTCAAACCATGGGCTGCCTGGGAATTCTGAGTATTACAGTCCCAAAATTTCTGCAGAGCACTAGATTGGGAAATAAGGTTGGCATTCTAATTTGTTTTTTCCTTTCCTTCAATTTTTTTTCTAACCATTTACATTGCCAAATGGATTTTGAAAAATAAGAAGAACAATGATATTTCTGAAATATGGTGTTGGAGAAAACTCCTGAGAATGCCATGGATATTCAAGAAAATCAACAAATGAATAATCAAACAACTCAACCCAGAGTTCTTACTAGATGTTTACAGAATCCTACTTTTAATAAATTTAAGACATTATATGAAAACTAGCTTTTGGGAAACGGCCCCGGTTCTGGGAAAGGTAGAAGAAAAGATAAGAATAGGATGACCAGCAGCATAGTGGATGGATTAAATTACAGGTGCACCATTGTAAAATGTAAAAAACCAGATTAGGAGCAGATTGTCAAGAAAGGAAATCTGTGTTGTTGTTAAGGACAATAACTTGAAAGGATAGTAATCAGTCATACAATCAAGTTTGAAATAAATCATCTTCACTGCTTCTGATGATTATTATTTTTATTCTCATTTGCACTAATATTCTATGACCATTAATTCCAACATTATTTTTTTTTAAGATAAGATAACTTTTATTGTCATTTTTTTACTGTGGGCACAACGGCACACATCAAAAATGAAATTTAGTTTCATTTATTTTGCTATCAATTCTCTCTTTTAAGAAACTTTCATTGTTTTTGTGGAGCATTCTTTCATTCCTTTGGATTAGGATGTCCATCAGAGGAAATGGGAGCTGTGTCAGCAACACTGAAGCCTTGACACTTTTTACACTCCATGGTTTCTGGCTTCTTCACACACACACACACACACACACACACACACACACACACACAGATGCATCTGGTTAGGGAAAATTTGGAAAAATCCAACTTTCTGCTCCAAATTTGGGCATTTCAAAAGACCGCCTGTGCCCACTACCAAAGAAAAACATTAAAGTACATTAAGTGAAGTTTCTATAAAGAGCTACTTTGTATTACCTTGTTTTGTTGGAGCAATGTAAGCACCATGAATTGTTTTTCTGTCCCAGGTCACTACTTTCTAGGAGCGTTGAAGAGCAAATCCCAACCTTGTAAGCTCCACAATCACTGACGGTGATTTCCCAGTAATGCCATCCTTGTGCAGGCAAGCACTCACCCAGCACTGGTGGGCTTCTGCACAAAGAGAGACAAAGAAAAGCGGCCTTGCATTCCCCCAAAAATCATGCAAGCTCAAACCTTATAAAAGTCTCAAGTCTCCTAGCTTTTCACCATAACCTTAACAGTGTTTGGAGTAAGAGAGAACCCTTTTCTCCTTTTGAAACCAATGGAAAGATATAAACAAATGATGTAAAAAGGACTCTGATGTCTGTCAGAAGGATGCCTTTATGAAAACAGAATGGAACAAGAGTAAATCTGGAGTGGAGAAGTCATCAAAAGAAACACTGAGTTCAATAATGGGCCCAATCCAGAGGGGGAAAAAATCCACTTTAAATTCCCCAGATGTAGGTGGGCAATAGCTTAGAATTTGATTTGTTGACTCATAAACCTCTCTCCCTCCTGGTCATGTGGTTTAGAGTGGAGCAGCCTACCCTGTTCACACTCATGTGCACAAATAGACATAAATGTATATTAGTGGAGAATATAAATATATAAATGGGCACCCAACTTAGATACACACAGGCAACACATATATCTCCATTCTGATTGGCCCCTCTCACACATGCGCAACACATCTACATGCATCCAGATACCACTAATGCACAGAGACAATACATATCTCTAAAGAGAAAGTCTATACAGGTGCAATATGTAACTTCATTACACAGAAGAAAAATGCAGGCACTTTCTATGGCTACTATTGGCATTGGGATGGAAAAGTATTCCAGAAGCTTTCCCTGTTACTTTTTCCAAGCCAGCAGAAAGTGGGGAAAGATAGAAATAAGAAGGGGCTCAGAACTCTGTCAACAAGACAACTACCCAAGAGCAAAGAGAATGAGACTGCATTTGGCGTGGTGAGGAGATGCTGGTGGAAGAAGGTTGGGTTTGAAAATCCTCCTCAGATTCCTCCAATTCATCTCTCTGGGAGAGCCAATTGGAAAATGATTTAGAATACATTAGAATGAAAGCCTCTCCCCTCCTTATCGTATGACCCCAAGTAGAGTATACTGTATGTACAGTAGTTCTCCAAAGCTTCCGAGGAGACATTCGCATACATGAATGTGTCATGGGGAAACAGCAAACATGCACACACAGATGCAACATGTTATTTTATTGCACAGACAAAATAGAAACATCCTTTGCTTGGTAAAGGGATTGGAAAGAATCACAGAAGTTTTGCCCTGCATTTTTTCTCTATCTTGTTTACTAGTTGTGATATGCAGAGAAAGTGTTAGGGGGCTCTACAACATGCAATAAACATGATCTTGAGCAAGACCACAAGCAACCTACTATTTAAAAGACAAAAATAACTTGTGTAAAGCTGAAGTTCTAAGGGCCAGCTGTTGCTGCTGGCTGGCTGGAGAGGGACATACACTAATGCACCAAAGCAGCAAAGACACTTCCCTCAAAAGAAAAAAAAAAAGAGAAATCATTTGAATATTTTGATGAATTGACATGCATCCAAATGATCATTTTTCTATTGTCCTTTATTATGCCTTCCTTAACATATGTTGTTTTGTTAACTAACCTGAAGTGGAAAGAAAGAAAGAAAGAAAGAAAGAAAGAAAGGAAGGAAGGAAGGAAGGAAGGAAGGAAGGAAGGAAGGAAGGAAGGAAGGAAGGAAGGAAGGAAGGCTTTTTCTTCTATTAAGTAAGTCTTTTTTATGGTTTCTAATGCACATATCCTGATGAAAATATTATCCCATAGAAAGAAAGAACATGCATCAGTAAAACTTACCCAGTGAGATTAGTATCATCTGGAAGGCATATCATGGTTCCATTGGGTGATACTTGCAGTACAGAGTGAACAAGTTCTCTCATTATATGAAATCTTGTTCCTATTGTAATTCATAGGCAAAAAATAAACACCATTTCATGAATGAGGGAAATTGCTGTTCATGTTGTATTATTAAAAGAACTTAAAAACTATAGAAATCACTATAACAAAAACATATTGTGTGAGATTGGTAGGCCTCCCCATTTCTTTTTCAATTAAGCATTCAGAAATAAGAGTCTTAAAAGCCAACTCTAACACACAAGTATAAAGTTTCTGCTGTTTTTATACAAGTCAATGGAAAAAATTATCACATTTTCCCAGACTAAGGTTTGATCTCAACTTAGAAAGTTGGATTCATTCTACTAACCATCAAGCCATTAGAACATTATGCTCTAAAAAGCAAAGGAAAAGGATCAGGATAAATTTGGTCTATTTTCCTATGTGCATGAGAAAGGCAGCATAAAAAAATGATTCACCAGAATCACAAGTGCATCTTTTTCCATCTACTTCTTACCTTAATTTGCCAAGCTTATGTGCACAATTTTCCACAGATTTTTTAAAATGTAAATTTGCACAATACCATCTCAACATAATATTATTTTTACAGTATATAACTTTCCCAATAAGGCTTTTTATGGGTTGGACTAGAAGACTTCCAAGGTCCCTTCCAAGTATTATTTTTGTTATAACTTACACAAAGAAAACTCTGTTTAACAATGTAAATATTAAGCCTGGGAAGTTGAAAAAGCATCCCGAAGGAAGGATAATGACAAGGTTCTTCTCCCATCTCCATGAAGTTACCAGGAGTTCAGTTCAATTCAAAGGAGACCTTAACTTTTCCCTCTTATATGCTTCCTTTCAAAACACAAACATCCTCATTATAGATTCGTTTTTCATATAAATCAGAAATAGCCACTCCCCTTCAGATGCACTTACGCATTACATATTGACTTTGGTCCAGAAAATGATAGACAACCTGGATTTTCTATTAGGGAATGACCTGCATTTTAACTCAGAGACCTCTTTGAAGAATCTGCCATAGAAATTTATGAGGAGTTCATTTATATGCATATCTTTAGAAACAAGATCTTTTCTTAAGACAATTGGCCTATAAGAATCCTAATGCTATAGGAATAACTAGAGCACAGCAATGCTGGCTGTGGAATTCTGGGAGTTGAAGTCCACATGCCTTAAAATTGTCAAGGTTGAGAAACACTGAACTAGAGGAAAGGTCTGTGGATAACAAAGGAAAGAAAACCAACGTTAGGTTAAAAAAAAGCTGATGAACTCAGATCTATTAATATATTTTTTCTTATTTTACCGTGAAATATTCTTACAATCTCTGAAAGCACAGCCAACTGAATCAGTGACCATTAACCTATTTACATCTGAAACAAAGTATTGACTCCCAACCCATTTAGAATATATATGTATATGTTTGGTTTTCTTTTGATAAATGTCTGGAATAATAGCATTCAGGAAGACAATTAATCCAATCTTTTGCAGAGTCACAACCTTTCAATACTATTTATGCTCCCAATACAATGAAATGACCCATCATAAACTTCCTTCTGTTCATACAGCTATTGTGTACAATGCAATTAAGCCAAACAGTCAAGGTTAAACATTAAAACCAATGCTGCCTTGCATACTTTAGCCTTCCACAGATTTCTTACCATAATTCTTTGTTGTATTCTAAATATAGCACGGGAGATGATACTATACTTTTATACATTTTGAGGAATCAATTTGCTATCAAATATAACACATGGAACAGCCTTTTTTGTATCTTCTTTGTATTTATACACATCCTTACTAAATGCAGACTTCCTATCAGTCTACGCATTAAATAGTCCATTAAGTGGAAGATAACACTTAGACTTCACTTCACAGTGCTTTACAGCCCTCTCTCAAAGCGGTTTACAGAGTCAGCATATTGCCCCCAACAATGTGGATCCTCATTTTACCGACCTCAGAAGGATGGAAGGCTGAATCAACCTTGAGCTGGCCAGGATCTAACTCCTGGATGTGGGCAGAGTCAGCCTGTAATATTGCATTCTAACCACTGCACCACCAGGGCTCTGGTGAGATACTGGCTGCCATAAGTCAATTCTACATGTTTGTGTCTCTATGGAGGGAGGGAGGAAGGGAGGCAAGAGAGAATAGACAGATCTGGCATGATAATTTCAAAGTTCAGCAAGCCTGATTTTAAAGCAAACGGCTTCATCAATCCATCAAATGTCTTCCCCAAAATATCTGAATTACACTTCTTTTTAATCAGCTTCAATCATATGGCTATTGGGTCTTCAATAGATCTGAATATACAGCTTTTTTCTGGAAACCAAAAAAGTATGCTATATGCAAGAAAGCATACAAATGTTTGTACATTATTTGTTGTAAAGTTTTCCTTAGTTTACCTACCTTTTGTTGAAATTAGAGCAGCTTCACTCTGTTCACTTGTTCCAAAGGTATTAACTGCTCTCACATAGAAGAAATAGTTTACGTTTGATTGTAGGTGAACCTTTATTTCAGGCTGACGAATTCCAGCTAGAGATCTGAAAAAGCAGAAATATGTATGGTCAACATATTAAAAAGTCTATTTTTTCCCTTCAAAATTCTCCCCGACCTTCAAAAAAGAGCAACAAATGACAGAAGATGGACTCTTTTTCCTATGAAAAAGATAAGGAAGGTAGAAGTGTGTTTTTGTATAAAACTGATATTGCAATATTGATTGAACATATCAATGGTAAGTTTTTTTATTATGGCAAACAAGAAGAATAAAATTGAGACCAAATCCTCCAAATGATTCCCAATAGATTTCCAATTGTTAAACAATTCCACAACATTTCCATCTCTCTCTCTTTCTCTCTCTCTCTCTCTGTCTCTGTCTCTCTCTCACACACACACACACAAACACCATACACACAAATGTTATTCTGCCGAATGATATTTCTAAAAAAAGAAATTCTGTAATAATTGTAATAATTGAGACTGAAGTTGTATATGGAATGACTAGGAAGTTTACATTATGGAATTTGGGGGAGATCATAATGCAGTATCCAAAACAATTTCAGAAAGTGTTTATTATCAGGCAAGATTATTATTATATTTCACCAGTGTCTTAATGATCAACTGGGTAGTAGTAGCAGGAATTAGTGGGATTTGGCAAGATGACAAGGCTGCACTTTTAAAGCAATTGCCTTCTACTTTTACCAACATGAGAAAAAGGAGCAAATATTAGCATGAGAGAGCAGCACAAGCATGAGATTCACAACCAAAATTGTTTCCAAATCTCATTTTAGATTACAAATCTTCAAACCAGATTTCAAAATAGAATCTTTAATGTTTCTTTCTCATATCAGAGGATTCTGATACTAATAGAATATAAATAACTTTGCCTATTATACTGCACATATGCATATTGTATATTCTTGCATACAATTCATATTCTTGAATTGGCTAGACTAAATCTGAAGTGTATGGAATTTATCAAGATCAGAGCTTGATCGTGCGCATGGGATAGTCAAAGAAACTATTATGCAGCATTACAGTGACAAAATCTACGTTGGTTGTAGTATAGGCCTGTGGATATGATATTCACCAATAGTTCTTTATCAATAAATAAACAAAGAAAAATCTTCTCATGCAAGCTAGTCTGTATTCTCCCCCCCCCGTATATTTACAAGAAATCTATTTTTAGTTTTTTTAAAGCACGTAGACCATATCTTTTGCTGGTGGTACTACTTTTCAGTTTATGTTTTAGTAATATCACGCAAGTACTGAAACTGATACTTGCTCTTTTTTTATTTTTTCCCCAAGCTTAATAATTAAAAAAATATACTGTAACAAACAGGGATTGTTTTCCAAAGCATGCATAGACATTTACTTCAGATTAACAGATTACATAAATTTCTGTATTGTTGCATCCTATTGGATGAACCAGCGGTAAGAGAAATTAATGAGAGCCCACAGCATGGCTCATGCAATGCTACGCTCACCTCCCTTAGCTATGTTAAAAACCATTATCTGACCCTGTTTTGAAAGCTCTAGGTTTTTTTCTTCCCAGGATTCCAGCAAAAGCAATAAAAACTGAAAAAGCCAGAGGGATTCATCTACTATTTCCTTCCTAGCTTTTGTTTTTCAGCACTACACATTGTTTGTAAGTTGTCCAAAAATCCCCTTACTTCTACATGCCTGACTAAGGATTGGTCGCTATGCAACTAGAATACATTTACTCTAATTATATTGTTCATTATCTCCTCCCTCTATTTTTTTTAAATGTTGAATTATACACTAACTTTAAAAAGAATAGTTTTTAGCCAGAGTGAATTTCATAGACTCCCAGATTCTTTTTATGATTTGATCTGAGCTAAAGCTCTTTATAATTGGCTTGAGCACTCTTCTCATAAAATCAATGCTGTAAAGTAAATATGTGATTTTTTTAACTTGGCTTCGTGGAATAGAAGGAATGTTCAGGAAGCAGAACATAACCACCTGGGGGAGCCATCATTCTATTTGCAACACCCCTGGATCTGTAGACCTTCAACTTTAAAAAAAAATAGCTGAAATCTTGCAAGATAATCTCTTGAGAAATCTGAACTAGGATGAGATTTGACAAGCTAGTGAGATTTTAGCCTTTTTTTATGTTGAAAGAGCTATACCAGCATCCTTTACCATGTGAATGAACAGAAGATACAGAATACATGTTGACTAAGAAGAAGGATCACAGTAGAGGTGCTGTATCTGTATTCTACACCTTCGGTAGAAGTCTGTCCAAACCCTTACATTACTCTCTGCCAACTTGGTACTTTCCAAGGGTTAAAACTTCGTTCTCTTCTGACTAGGCTTTTATCAGAGCCAAAGGAAATTTCTAGAATTTATCAGTAGATATTTTTAAAAAATCAAGGGTCCAATTTCTGAATTCTTTTCTGAGAGAAATCTCTTGAACCACAGCCTTGGTTAAGAACAGAGCAGTAACAATGTGCAGGGCTTGGCACTTTGGTATCAGTAGCCTCCTACACACCATTCCACATTCACAATATTTTCACATAACAAATCTGCTCTTCCAGATTGCTGAGGAAGTGCCAACATATGGAGCAAGCACAGAAAACAAACCTAGACTTCCGGTGAATGGAAGCTAGCAATTTAATGCAGTTCTATCTCCCGCATAGGGATAACAGAATGGCACATTTCAATATAGCAAATAACTTAACAGACTATTAATGTGGATTCTAATCTGGATTCAAGGATCAGAATGATTTGAAGGAGCACACACAGATACACACCCTAAGGGAGCTAAGTAACATCACACCCATTCTTCATAGAAGCACACAAGATGAGGTGGTTGTTTGACATCATTCTAAAAGACCCATTCTTCACAGAAGCAGGAAGGGGTGGAACCTGGATAACATGATACTAGTCTAGCTTTATATATAGTACCTGCTGACTCTAGCAGATAAAGGACCAAAAAAGTGTTCTGTTTAAAATCCAAGGTGCAAATGGGATGGGGGAGGGGGCAAAGATGGCACTGGCATACATACAGCATTCATGAGGAAAGAGACAGCAGGTCACTGAAAGGAAGATAAAACAAAAGTCAAGGTGGCAATCACAGGGCATGATCAAAGCCCTGCCCCTGTCAGGCATGCTTTAAAGGGATATGAACATACAAAGAGTGGGACTTTATTTAAATTGATCAGGAGAATAAAAAGGTCTTCAGCTGCTGATAGATAATGAAAAGACCCTTTTTTGGAGCAAACGACAGCATCTTATTGTTGGGGCACAGGAGAAGGACAGCAAAGGAGGTTCATCTTCAGATAATTAATATGAAATTGTGTGGGGCTTAAATGATTAAATCCATCACTGAATTTGGCTCAAAAATCAGATTGCTAGCCTCAGCCACTGGCAAAATACAGCATGATATGTTTCTATTGGTCAAGAAAAGTAATCTAGGCTAAGATTATCAACAAGGAGATGTATTTAATTCTTAATGATTGATATAACCAGAAGCAGCAGGAAGCATACTGACTGACCATACTGACTGACCAATCTATGAGCTATTTTCTAACCCATTGTGAAGACACCAATCTGGGGAAAGCTAGATTAAATAATATAACATAAGAAATTGCTTCTGGCAAAAAGAATAAATGGTTCACTTAGTTCTTCTGATCGCAAGAATTTAATGTATTTTAAACTATCACAAATGGTTAAATCCTGATATTTCTATCCTGGAGGAGAAATGAGAAAATCAATCTTTAAAAACATTTGAAGTGTTACAGATTATCTGCATAGAAAATTTTATAAAATAGAGCTACACACTGCTGGCAGAGAATAGCTCCATTGTACTATCAAAGCATGACAAATTCTGCCAGTTTTTCAGGATACTTCCTTTAGCTTTTATGAAGTGATTGGCTACAATAATTTTTGAAAGAGTGCAGCAGGCGTAAGAAGGAAAAAGACAGAAAGAATATACCGTACTTCTGTAGTTTTTTGGTACCTATAAATAATCCTCCTCTTCTTCCCTCTTTTCTACATACATGTCTCCAATCACAACCAGAATCTTTAAGGTTTTTTTTAAATGGTGATAATCTATCTTTGTGATCATTAACATCCTGAATATCCTACTTTGGGTTTGTTTGTTTTTTTTTTTTTTTTGCAGAAATGAGTGGTGGTGGTGAAACATAAGAGGATTTGTATCTTGCAATTTTAATAGCATGGCAAATTAATTCTTGAGGGGGACAAAAACAGAGCTAAATACTTGCAAAGCTATGAAGTAACTTGGGGAGCTAGGAAAACCATCCACTCTTTGTATCTCACATAACAGCAGGACAGTCATCAGGAAACAAGATACCATTGGAGACTTCCAGCTTTGAAGGATCATGGTTTATAAGGGAAAGATACATGAAAAAACAACAAGGGAGTCCATTCCCATCAATTTGGGCCCCTGTCTTTTCATTCTTCTCTAAATAGCCTGGATGTGATCTAAATAAGGAGGAACAAAGAGCTTAGCTTTCTAACTATTTTTGTACATTGCTAGCACAAAATAAAAGTATTCATGATTTATGGAATACAGTCACAAAGATTAACATCTTGCAGAATTTTCACAACTCTGCAAAAATGGATTTCTTATTTTCTGTAGGAAAATCAAGAAAAGAGAACACTCTTGCTTTGACATAGAAAAAACTCTTTAGCCCCACTGCATTTTATCTGTGCCTCAAAGCCCAAGAGACTGACCTGAGGCCTTCTCCTTCAGGGGAATACTGTCTGCAGTATTCAAGTGTGAAGGAGTCTGTTGCTTCCAGGTTGCTGGTGCTCCATCGAATAGTGGCCGTGTCCCAGCAGATGGTGCACTCTTCTGATTTTATTTCCGGAGTTGGAGGAGCTGTGAATATAGGGGCATATTTGCTGAACCACAATTGCTAGTTTCTACACACTGGAAGTCAAAAATCCAGACATTTTTCTCCTAACCTATTAAAACTTTGCCATCTCTACTTGTTTGCTTTTTATTTTCTTCAGAGGTAGTCATCTCTTAATTATCACTTATTCGTTGACCATTAGAATTTAACATGGTGCTGAATGAATGGTGCTTAGGATCCATCCTAGTACTTACAATGGTTGCAGTATCCCACAGTCATTGACTGTCATTTGTGACCTTCACTGCTGGCTTCTGACAAGCAAAGTCAATAGCAATCATGGGATGTTGTGCTTAACGATGGTATAAGAGTCACTTAATGATAGAAATACTGCTATTAATAAGTGATGCAGTCACATGATGTCACACTTTACAATTGCATTGGTTAGTGATGGAAATTCTGATTCAATTGCCATTGTTAAGTGATGACTACCTGTATGATATTTCTCTTCTCCGCTTGCTAAGTTTGCTAGGTTAATATCTGTTCTAAGGAATGGTGATCAAATAGTAGTAGATATATTAAAGTGAAATTACCAGCTTTCAATCTTTTTCTATTCTCAGTGAACAATTAAGGAGAAGTAATTTTATTAAAAATTATAATTACAATAGTAAAAATTAATACAAACTAAAAAAAGGTAGAAGAATAAAGGAAAGAACAGGAGGTGCAGGAGAGAAAGAAAAAAAGAAAAAAAGAAATAGAAACAGAAAAGAAAGAAAATAATATATTAATTGAAAAGAAGTATATAAAGAAGTTATGTTCTACCTTCATCACTTCCTCTTATTTGATCTCTAATTTACAAACAAATCCATAAAGCATCATCATTTCTGTCCTGGTTTCAGCTAAAATCCATTAACACTCACCAGAAATAATAACATATCTATTTTAACCTTGATCACATAAACAAACTGTATATTCCTTTCTTTTACTTGTAACAGCCTGAATCTTTAGTCCATTCAAATAATGTCTTAAAACTTTATTTCTTTTCATTTTTATTGGTCCCTTTTAACAAGATTCTTCCAAATTTTAACAAGCATCTTTTATATCTCCAATATAGGGAAATTATCCAGGTCACTCACTTGCTTTATTGTTTACATATCCATTTTAATTATTTAAACATTAGCTACCATAGTTTATTTTGTATCTCTAATGTACAATCTTTTTTGTGATGTGAATATGCCATATGTTAAATAATATCATTTTTTTCTATGTCATTCTTTTAGCTTGTAATTTCTAAATTCACTTTCAACTCAGTCTTGATCTTGTCAGGTAAAACCTCTTCCTTTTCCATAACATCTTTTAGCTACAATAGTGATAGAGGCAAATGTCTCTGTTGACTCTATTAAAATTAATTTCTAAGTCCATTTTTCAAACATATCCTTCAGTTAGAATATTTTGCTTCATTCTGTAATTGTTTTAAGTTTCAAGTTTATGTTTTATTCTCCTTTAATTGTAATCTTAGTTCCCTCTAATCATTTTCCCACAGGAAGATTTTTTTTATTATTGATTCCAAAATCTTATTTTAAATTTATCAGAACCCCTGGTCTGCTTGTAACTTTGTAAAATCAAAATTTAACTAAAATAGCTATTTTTTTATAAATCCATATTATGTCTATTCTCAACAATGATTGGCATCTTAGTGAAAAATAATGTATTCTCTAGAATTACCATTTTTTTGTCTCCAAATATCCACTAACATTACATTTTATACAAGTCCAAAGAAGGATTTTGGCAATTTTTCTAGGGTAGTTTTGATTATCTTTTTGAATGCTCTATCCAGTTGTGGGAATACCACAGCATTCAGTCACCAACTTTGATATGGTAGGTTTTAACACTAGGTCTCTGGAGATTCTCATTCATCCACATCATAGTTATCCCAAAGGTGCTTTTTCATGAGGCAACTGGACTTTCTTGTTTATCTGTGTCATCAGGGTCAACTGAGTAGTGCAAATGGGTATGGAGCCTTCTTGGAACTGCTGAAAGGACTGTGTTGTGGATTGGAGATAGATGATGTCATATCCCTCCCCCTTTGTTCAGAGAAGGATGTCCAACACAGATAAACCTCCAGGTTGCCCCAACAACTCTCTAAAAGGATGTAAATGACCAGCTGCCTGCAAGGAGTATAAATCCTTCCATCCTCCCCCCCCCCATCCAGTCAGAGCTGAAGAAGCTTCTTGGATGAGAAGCGAAAGGTCTTCAAAGAAAAACAAAAATTCCCAGCATTTATTCCCAGCAGGATTTTTGGCCATCTATTTCTATTTCTACTTCCACATATCTACCATCTGGATCAGCTGTTATTGTGCTTTCAGTTAAGGGTTGATGTATCAAGTAACACCATTAGTTTTGTTTTATCCTGTTGACATAAATTTTTTTCCTAAATTTTGTAAATTAATTATTTAACATCTTTATTCCTAATATGTGTTCCTGAAGAAAAATTATATCCTGTTTAGATATTTGAATACTTTGTTCCTTTTGGGGGGTGGAATTGGCTTCATTTATGTCCCATGTTAAACATCTGTATTCCATAGTTAAAATGTTTTTAAAAAGTCCATGCAAATGAATATATAGTTTAAAGCGTACAAAATATTTTTCAACATCCCACTGCCTCAGATGAAGGTAATTTTAAATATTTTTATTCTTTCTGTTACTCTTTATTTTTATTTGATGTTCTTAATATAAATATTGTAATTATTTTACACAATAGTTAACTAAAATAATACCAATTAACAATTAAAATGCATAAGCTGTAACCTGTAACATCTTAACATTTCCTCTAATCCTAATTACCACATTTAAGGCTGGGTATGTTTAATATATGGAAATAATCAGAGGAGACTTCCATGTTATAAACTCTAATGGATGAGACAGTCCCATGTGAGTAAAACAGACTAAGACAGAATTAACTATATAACACCCATGCAGGTGTAAATACAGAACACATCCCCCTCAAAATCTTTTGTTTTAGCAATTTTATGATATGTCCTCTGTACTTCCTTAGGTCACAACTGTAAATATTGAGGAGAAAAAATATTTAAAAGACCAAGAGCTTACCAGTTCTAAATATGGATTTGCCACTGGGAAAACTACATCCTGCATAATTTATGGCCATGATCCATACTCTGTAGCAGTGACCAGGTTCCAGATCCTCCAAAATGCAGTTACTCTCTTTCACAATGACACGATATTCTTCAACAAAACCTACAGCAAATAAAAGCAACATGTATACGTGCAAGAAGCCATGGAAAATGCCCTTTTGCTTCATACAATAGCAAGTTAAACAGTTGACCAAACAAGAGTGGATTGGCAGAAAAATTCTACACAGCAGTTGGAAAGGGAAGAAATAAACATGGGTCATATTACAAAGTGTCTCTCCATCCACTTGCTGTGTTTTTTTTTTAAATGCTCCTCTTCTATTAGAAACAACACAAAGAAAATAATTTAAACTCAACTATGTTTGGATTGATTTAAACTCTCCACTGGATTGAGCTCTTTGGGGGGTTTTTCAATGTCAGGATCCCACCAGCCATAAAGACTAGTAGAGAGGGGAACCCAACAATCCCATGGTTCTGACATGATCTCTGTCTGAACCATTATATAGTTGCTAAATGTATTTGTTTTTATTGTATTTTCTTTGTAGTCTGTACACAGAATAGCAAGAAAATGCTATTTCTAAAAAAAAAATACAGGTAGTCCTCAACTGGGTCCAAAATTTCTGTTTTAAGTGAGACATTTGTTAAGTGAACTTTGCCCCAATTTAAGACCATTCTTGCTACAGTTGTTAAGTGAATCACTGAAGTTGCTAAGTTAGTAGCATGGCTGTCAAGTGAATCTGACTTCCCCATTGACTTTACTTTACTTGTCAGAAAGTCACAAAAGATGATCACATGACCCCAAGACACTGCAACCGTCATAAATATGAACCAGTTATCAAACATCGAATTTTGATACTTGGCCATGGGGATGCTACAATTGTGAAAAATGGTCATAAGTCACTTTTTTCAGTGCTGTTGTAACTTCAAACAGTCACTAAACAAACAGTTGTAAATCAAGGACTACCTGTACTTATTGATAATAACATAGACTAACTGAATTTATCAACATCAGGCTACATGACAAAACAACCCCAATTTAAATCTAGAAGCAGTAGAAGTCCTGCTTAACAACAATCTTCCCAGCCTAAAATTACTAACAAGCTGAGTCCCTGAGGCAAAACAACACAATTTCTTCTCACAATGAGTAAGAATATTCAAAATAGTTTTACTACACTTGATGATATTATTGTTGTTATTTTGTTTCTGTAAATTCTTCCTTCCCCACTCCACCCCCCAACACCACCATCCCCATTCAGAAAGACTCACACACCACTTTGCTCTTTGCTTCCTGGGGATTCCTCCATACAATAAACCTGGAAGAAATCAATGAGATCATCTTCATTCACAGTCCAGTAGACAGCAATCGATGTGCTGGTAGCTGAGTTTGGATCCTGAGGGTGTAATTTTGGACTATGTGGGACTGGGAAAAAAATATAATCAGTTATAAGGTCAAGTATAATTTTATTCTGTTTTTATACTCTTAAATTCATTCTGACCTATTTTCATCTTTTTTTTAAAAAAAAAGTTTACATGGCATTTCACATACATTTGGTACATTCTCTGTAGTCAAGGGAAACTTGAATCTCAAATTCTGCTTCCCAACTCAAATATAACTTTGAGCAGTACAAATTAAGTAAATTCACAAACTGAACAAATTTCTTTCACTTTCCAACTTTTTTCATTTTTCTAGTATTGAGCAGAGAATGTCCCAGCAAGATTTTTGGAGCTGTCCCTTAAATTCATTATTATTCCTTTTTACTTGTTTATAGGAATATAGGATAGGTCTAAGATCTGATTGAGGCACAGATAGCATCACTTTTTCATCCCATTTTTTGAAATTAGATGAATAAATGGTATTTCTTCATTGGACTACTGCTCTTTATGATACAGTGGTACCATAGTACTCATCATTAACTGATTCCAGGAGGTGTAATGAGTACCAAAAACGCCGAGTACCAAACACATTTTTTCCATAAGCAATAATATAGTGAGTCACAAAGCAGCCGACACTAGCAGGTTCTAGCTAGTACATTGAGTACCAAACAAACAATGAGTACTGGGATAAAATTTTCACATCAAAATGCATTGAGTACCAAATTTGATGAGTTTCAAAGCAGTTGAGTACCAAGGTACCACTATACCTGAAACAACATCTTAGTTTAGGAGACCTGGTCTAGAGAAAAGCTGGGGATTCAAAGAGGATAAAAGCTTGCCTTTGCTAGCTTCTGCAGCCTGAGACCTAGACACCCTCTGCCTAATAATCAGTCTGGGTCAGAATAAATAAAATTAAATGACCCAATTCTATATATCTTCACTAGAGCTCAAGCCGCACAGTACAGTCATATAGTAAAAATGACTTTGGGAAAAAGAACAAAAGGATGTGTGTGGTGATTTCTTGCTTGGCCTTCAGAAAATATTTATGCTACAAATACACAATAAGGTTTATAGCTGAAAAAACTGCCTGCCTGCCAAGGCACTCCCTAAAGACATGGGAATTTAGCTTAGTGATTGCATTAGGAACACTTGGATAGAAAAATGCTACTATATTCAAATATTGATGCATAATTTGTCTTGGAAACATATAGAGAGATATGTATTCATACCATATTCAGTATAACCTGCTAGCATTCTGAAGGAAGCTAAATGTGTAAGAAATGGAAATTTTCAGAGTAGTCTAAAAATGTCACACCTCAACATTAAGCTTCTCCATATCACATCTTTTCCCTCTTTTAGTAGATTTGTACTGGCTGGAAGAAGCTTTTCCCCACTCACCCACTTTTTAAGTTACTTTCTGACAGAATCATGAGTGTCTTTGGCAGAAAAAAACCTGCTGACATTAGCAGATTCTTTGTGTTTAAAGCAAAGAGCTCCCTGACATTCATAATATGCTTCCTTCCCATTACTGAATACAAACTAGATGATTTATTTCCTGGAAATGCAGCAGCTACTTCAAAGGCAAGAGAATGGGAACACAATTAGACGGCATATAGAAAGCATTCCTGATTAAATTGCCTACTGTTTTCCTGTTCAATAGCAGTTTCAGGTAGGAAGTTAACCAATCAAGGTCCCAGTACTGGAAAACAGGATTTGTTCTAATGCCATTTCTCCAATGAAAACCCCTCCAAGTTTATTAGGCAAATAATTAGGGGGCAGGAGATATAAAGGTACTATTGCTCTCTCCCTGTAAAAATCTTGTCCAGAGGTGAAGCTGGCCCTCACTTTTCTGGCCTTCCAAAAGACTATCATGGGGACCCAATAGTGGTGAGCAGCCCTATGGGGATTGGTGGTTTGAGGATACTCTCTGCACCTTTTTAACTTTGTACATCGTCTGTAAGGATTTTTATGGTCTTTTTCTTGTAAACCATTCAGAGTCACTTATACAATGAGATGGGCAGTGTATACATTTGATAAACAAATACAATTACAAGCCAGTATTTCCCTCCCAGCATTATTAAACCTAGTGAGATTCCCTTCTCCTTCAGCCCTTCTGCAGTTACACTTTTAAAAACCTTAAATTGTAAGTCACAGATCTGTTGCATTTAGTTGTCAATTCCAATGTCATTTGAACTGAAGAGCTTTTTTTAAAAACAAAACAAAAAAAATCTACAGATTGGCAAAATATGTATTTTATTAATTTTCTAATTTTACAATCATGAGTACTTAATAAACAATGTGTTGTCTGGGTCCATTGGTAATTCGGTGGTACATATTAACTTTCTCAGTCTAGTTCCAATACTACCCCATCCAGTGCTTCCTTGATCTTCTCTTCTTCCGGTGATATGCATTTTTCCACACTGGGCAAATATAATTCTTGTAACTTTTAATACATATACAATGAAATATAGACATTCTCATCACAAATTTCTGGTATTATACATAATATTGATAGCATCAGTTTATAATATCTTTTGTAGCCAGAACATATCTCAATTGCACTTGCACTTAAAATCCATTTGTTCAATCAATATCCTGTTTTTCCCGCTTTTTAAAAGATTTTAATTTCCCATCAATGTTCAAAATATCTCTATTGCTTATAATTTTCTCATAATAAATTATATTTGGGTAACCAAAAGCTTCCCTTATTCAAACTCTTTTAGAATTTTCATATTTCCCATCTCATAACAAAGTATAATACTCTAGTTACAAATCCTATCCTTCTAATTATGATAATACTTTTATTTCTAACAGTTATTTATTTTCTTAACCATATTCAAACATCTGTTTTATAGTAATATCCCATCTAATAGGTCCTCTATTTTCTTCAGTCTTACTCTAGCTTTCTTCCTTTGCCAAATAACTTTCCAGGTCAATGCATTTGAATCATCAGGTAATTCTTCCTCTGTTTTTGTATATATTGTTTGGAATGAGAAAGAAAATTTGATTGAAGTATTTTTGGAAGAATGCTCAACCCATTTATATTCATTAAACAGCCTCCATCTGTCTCCTTCAGTTTTTCTTTTCATTTCTTGTTTGCCAATATTCAGCATTTCTCCTAACAGCTTTATTATCCATTCAATCAGCTCTTCTTCCTTATCCTCAAATGTGTTCTGAGATCTTGACAAGTAAGATATCTTTTTCATTTCCAGTGTTATCACTACATCTTCTAATTTTTCATTTGTCTGCAAATTCCTTCCTTTAGGTCCTCCATCTTTAGATCCATTTTTTCTAATTTTCCTTCTGTTTTCTGGGCTACTAGTTTCTTCTTTGTAGTCATTGTCTGCATTTGTAAGTTTAGGTTAGAAAAATGTCTTTTATATCATTTGCATTATTTTTAGTCTCATCATGAAATAAAACAATTGTCTCTTATATTGAGTTCAACATAGAAAGAATTTCTTTCTGAGATTCATTAACATTTTCTTGTTGGTATATCAAGCTGGGGGCTTCAGAGACAAGTGTTAAAGATGGTTTTTTACCATTTGAGGCTAAGTATGAAATACCCATTTTGTTTCTGTGTGTAGCCTTTTGAGTCCAATAAGGTCCCCAACACAGATAAGCAGCCCAAGAGTTTTTTTTTCCTTTTCACAGCTGCAGTCTGCAAAAGTGAAAGTTTCCAGGAGCAACAAAGAATCTTATCTAAGTCTGGGCTTCAAGCCAACTTTCCTTTAAGTGTAATAAATTATAGTACCATGATTCGCCACTAGAGGTCATTGACACCATCTTCCAGCTTTCCAAATCCAAGCCTATTTTACAGACTTTCAAATATCTTTTCTAAAAAAAAGTCTCAAAGGTACTTTTAGTCCCCAAATTTCAAAGTTATATATCTGTATTAATTCCAAATTGATCTTGTAGTTTTCTCTATTTTCCACCAAAGCAATTAATTTGCCGCTTTTCTTTTCCTGAGGGAGCAGGACAAAAACTTCCCTTCCCTCTCTCATCAGGGAGGATTCTTTGCTTTGGGCATTCTTTTTTCCAGGAGAGTAGTATTAAGGACATAAAAAGAGAATAAAGGCTCACCCAGATCCATCCACGTTGCTCAAAAATGGCTAGTTAGTGCTTATCTTCAGTTGTTAGCAGCTTCTGATTGGCCACACAAATGTAGCCAGTTTTTTCCCTGCCGCTTTGGAGGGTTTCCTTGGATCCAGCAGAAGGGCTGCCACCCCTCCATGATCAATGATGGTCCTCTCCTTTTTCATCACCTCTCCGGGGCAACTTTTGTCCCCAGTGGGGCAAAATTGAATGTGGAAGACGGAGCCCCATTTTCCTGTGCCCGTCACTCCATGATGCCTAACCAGAAGTCCTCACTGCCAAGATCTCAAATCCTTTCCAAACAATCTGAGGTCCTGAACTCCGTCCACTGCCTCTAACCTTGAGAGGAGCTGGTAAAGATTCAGGGGAAGAAAATCTATCATGAGAAAAGGTTTATTTGTCAACTAAATATCTACGCCTCAAATTGCCCAGCAAGAAATTGGGACCAAAATTCTTGGGGCCTTTCCCCATAGTAAGGATCATCAACCCGGTCACAGTAGAACTAAAACTCCCTAGACTTTTACGGAAAATTCACCCAGTTTTCCATTGTAGCTTGTTGAAGCCTTATCAGGGCTCCACTTTAAGACCTCCTCTGAAGAAGGCACCTGGGCTCCTCATAGTTGCGGGACAGACCCACTATGAAATAAAACGTATTCTTGACTCTAAAATTTTTAAAGGGAAATTGCAGTACCTAATACAATGGAAGAGATACCCGTTATCTGAAGCCACCTGGGTGAAATCCAGTGAAGTGACAGATTGGTCAAAAGGTTTCACGTGAAACACCCCAACAAACTGAAAAATAACCCTTAGCATATGCTTTTGTTTACTTTACAGGATCTGTCCTTCTTGTAAGGGGGGCCGGATGTCAACACTGCAAATACTGTATATTCTTGCTTTGACAATATGCAGAACTGTCTGGTATTTTTAGAGTTAATGCAGAGCATAAGAGGTTAAAGAGAAAGAGAGAGGAAGGAAACCTTTGACCTTCATACTAATTGGA